AAACCCCAGCAAAATAAGATCAGGTCTGTTGAGCACAATAATATTAAAGCATTATTTTCATTGCCAACATCTGTGACTAAACAAGTGATTAAAATACAAGTTATCTTCCATATTCCCTCCACATTTGAGGTATTTGCCTTCCTGTCCTTTGCTCCTCTTCCTCCCCACTTTGTGCCATTATAGCAGCTGGGGTGGGGGAACACACATTACCAAAATAATTCTGACTAGCAGCAGGAAGATATGAGGACAGCTTCTCACTCCTACATTCAGCCTTGCTTCTGCAGGCTAAAAGGTAGTTTAATTAAGAACTTACTGCTTTGAAATTCACACAAGTGTAAAAAATCTGGCTCAGCAATAACAGAGAAAAATTAGAAACAACAGTTTAGAAATAACTGGTATAAGGAAAAATTCGCTACTATACTGTATTATGCATTATAAGCATACAAGTTGCACTCAGGAAAGATGGCTTCATATGCTGTTCTATAGGATCCTGTCTGCCTTGCATTACAGCTAGCCATAAATAAAAGTATCATCTAAATCTTTGGCCTGGTTTTCCTCTAACATGCCATCTGAGCCTTAACAAAAATTGACATCAAGGAACTCGATGAATGGGTAAATCCTAATAGAGGTACTATCCAGGAATTGAATCATCCACCAACATGTCTCAAATTGAGAGAAAGACAAAATATAGAAGGAAATGAAAAGACAGAGAGAGATAGTTGGGGGCAGGGGGGACTACAGCAGGAAGCAAGTAACTCCAGCCAACATATTCAAACACATTTATTTTTCATTTCTCATAGTAAAATAAGAGGTAATTATCAGTAGAGGTTGGAAGTTTGTTGTTTCTCACAAGTATGGTGAGAATCTTCTCACTAATTATAAGGAATCTATGGCAAGTTTTTTTTTTTTTCCACTATCAAATCCCGTAAGAGGAAAAAAACAAGCACAAATAAAGCAGATCTAAGTCACGTGCGCATCAGCAATTTCCAACATTGTGCTTAGTATGACTGAAATAGCATGACTAAAGATAAAAAAGTTCACATTAATTTTAACTATAGACTAAAATCTTGACAAAATAAAAATATTTCTTGAAAGGAACCCTTTGAGTCTGAGAAACAGCCCACAGGCAGCTGCGATAAATATTCTTAAAGTTGGTAGGACAAGTAAGCCTTCAATAGCAGAGTTTTATGATAAAAGTTCCAGTTCCACAGAAACCTATGCAAACCCCTAACTTCATAATTTCAGAAAACTACTCGATACAAAAGAGTTAATCACATGAAATAAATATTTGCATGGTCTTAAAGATAAACACATATGCCATTAAGCATTTCCTTTTATTACCTAACAAGCCACTCACTGCAGGCAAGTTACACAACCACTTTAAGATCTGAAGAACCAGGAATGAAAGGCTGAGCTCAGCTAAGCTTAAACAAAACCCCAGCCACCCTGCTCAGCTGAGAGCACAGAATTTACTCCATAGCCTCTGCGTACAAGCCTCATGTGTTTAGAGCCAGCTAATTCTACAAAACAATATCGTATTTATCTAAAATTAAGGTTAAAGCTAAACGCTGGCTACAGCTCCGACAATAGAACTTTGCTATCTAATTTTAAACAAACAGCTTTGGGAGTTGTAACAAAACAACCCTCAAAATTACTTATCGGGAGGGCCTAAGTAATTGAAGAGCTAGTACCAAAGCTGAAAAGATTCTGCTTTTTACTAAATAGCTGCAGCAGAATTTTTTTCCAGTAATACATTATGAGATTTATGAAATCTTCAAAATAAGATTCTCTCTCATTTGAAGTCATTTTATAAACCATTTTCAAAGCTATTACCAAATGCATTTAGAGCTTGCAATACAGCTTACCACTGTGCTATGACCCTGGAAGCACTGCTAATTCACCAACTCTGAAAGAAAACCAGGGGAAGAGGCTTTTTATCATCTCTTAGCCTTTTTCCTAATATCTGACCAAAACAGGCTGCTTTCAATTAACTAAATCATTAAGCCTTTTTAATATGTTCTATCAGTTATTTTTGTAAAACTTTTTTTTAGTTTGAAAGCTATGCTTAGATCAAGAAAATCTGCGTATACTTCTGATACCTACACATAAGAATAAAACCATAAAGTCATGATACCCTCATAGTAGGAGTGGAATAACATTGGCTTGTAAGTCTCCCTAGAAATAACATAGAGCTGCAGACAAAGGTTTTATTAAAAATGCATGGTTCTGTCTTGCTTTCTCTGAAGTTAGTAACTTTTCTTTTTTTTTCTTCAATTAAACAGTAGCACGTTTTATTCCTCATTTAAGATTCATGGCTTACACACTTCCATGTCATCCAATACATAAGTGCAAATACCAAAATAAACATAGGCTTGGGTTCTTATCTGGCATAAATCAGTCTATATCCAGCACAGTAGAAACTGAGCTAAGAATCAAGGCTTTTTTTTTTTTTTTGCTTAACATTTGAACCAATTAACAAAAGAAATCAAATGATCAGATTGACTTTCCATCTCTTATGGTCTTATCTTTATGCTTAGAGACAAAAAGTTAACAATTGCTAAACTGCAGTTAGCCTCTTCCTTTCTTCAGCTTTCAGATAACAGCATTCAGATTTTTCAACAAAAACAAAGAACATTTCACTTTTTAGGAACATCATTAATCCATCTCCAAGCATCCCAAGCACAGTAAAGTCTTTGCTGTTTAAAGGAAAATAAGCTTAGACCTAAATGACACATTTACCTCCCCCCAGATCTCCAGCCAGGTTTGCATGGGCAGTACTGGGGAGAGGTGACTACCCCCTGCATGGCCAAGGGGGACACAGGGCCAAGACCTCACTAACTAGGAGGTGCCCTACAGCATGCCAGCAGCCAGGAGCCCAGGTCCTCAGGCAAGTTCACAGCAATGAGGTAGGTCCAAGATCAAGACCAGAGTCAGACACAGCCCAGAAACAGTCAGGCAAGGCTATGGTAACAACGTAGGTTCAAGAGGAAGTCAAGAAGCCAGTCCACAGATTAGGATCTAAACCTACAGGATCCACACCCAGGCTAGACCCCAGCAATCCTGCAACCTTACCAGGAAGGGACTACCTACCAGCTGAGCTGAGCTGAAATGGGCCCATGGGAGCAGCCCCAGGTGAGGGGCATCAGGGCCATTAAGGCCCGTTAGTGCCCTCAGGGCCCTGACAAAAAGAGCCACCTTTTCATTTTTCAAACTGCAGCTGACGCATACAGTAGTTTTCCCCAGGGGAAAAAAGAACCAACAGTAGATTTCAAAATGAACCTCTTATTTCACAAAGCCTTATAGCTCGCACCACAATGTTTTTCACAGGTGAACAATATAGGTAGCTTGTCTTTATAGCCTGTGGTTTATGTAAGAAAACCATGTTATTGTAAGAATAGTAGCCAAAGCCAATTTAAGAGGATTGTCAAAATGAAAGGAATAAAAGAGAGTCTACTTAGGATTTTTTAAAAGCTAAAAACGTTGGGCTTGATTCTGAGAAATGCTGGCCGTTTCCTGGAAGGTTGTGAGCCATCAACTTCCACCTCTGCCTTCCCCGTTCTAACAGCTCAGCTCCGGGCTTCTTGAAATTTCCAGGGATTTCCTACGGGGGGTAGATTGGTGCATAAGGCCTACTACAAACATTTTCATAAATGCCTTACTGCCTTGATTTCATCTAGTTTATTGGTGATTATAGGAGTGTGATTGAGGTGACTTCCTGGAGATTTCCATGTGGATAAAGTATCTAGGTTTTCTGGCTGGTGAGTCGAAAGCAGCACTTCCACGCTGTTTGCTTCAGAAGCGGAAGTACGTTAGCAGAAAGAGCCAGATGGACCAGCTAGGCTCAAGTAGACCTCTGACACAAATTTTAGTCTTATGTTAACAGAACTAGTGCATTGTAGTCTGTAGGAGAGGTTTATTATATGATCGTACGTCTGACAAACAGATAAAGCATACTAAAATCATTATTATGTAACTTAGAAAACATATAGGGAGAAGAGTTCAATAGTTAGAAAAAAAAAAGTCTGTTCACCTCTTGTTCCAGAGCGTAGCTAAATCATGTTTTGTTTTGGTTTTCAAAAGGAAAAAGTTGTGCTTAGCTAATGGATACGCATGTAAATGTGCAGCACTGCTGTTTATAAGCAGTACATGTACAAGTATTACTGTGTTATCCGGTGCAAGATCTTGCTCACCCATTCCTGTGCCCATCTGAAAACATTAACTTGAGAATCCGACAGGCAGAAGCTTGCTGTGACAGCCCACCTTTCCTCTAGAGGCGAAACACAATGACTAACCAGCCAACTTTAAGGGCTTTTACTTTTGCTGAAAATGAAGTTATAAAGTTGTTATGGGAATTTCCGAAACTTAGCTCATTGCCTGTGGAATCCTAATGTTTTGTAAAAAATAATTTTTGTATATTTTAATGCTTCTGAGTCATACTTTCCCTTCCTTAAGGGTACTCAAGCTTATGACCCTCAGTTCCCAAGGCTACACTGCTGGAATTTGTTGCTGTTCCTTGGGAGCTCTAGCATATTGCTCTAGAAATTTTTAATTAGACTGGACACTAATAGTAGTGCTCTATTTTCATGACTATTTTTTCACTGGGAGAAAAGGCTTGAGTCTGTCCTCAATTTTTATTTAAATTGTTGAGAAACAAGAATCCCTTGTGCTTCTCACGATCAGGACAATTGGTGCCCGGTCCTAATCTCAGACGTACATCCATCTGAGTTGTTTTGCGCAGTTTAACGGGCACAGCACAACAGGAAGGATGGAGGTGGGAGGGATGTCAAAAGGAGGCATCTCCGTAACATTGGAGCTATAGCTCCAGGAGCAATATGCATATATTTAGCTTTATTTATGAGTAGTCCTGTCGCACTTCAGAGGACTTTGGGGGTACGGCTCGAATTTCTTGCTACGCGTAGGGTAGCAAGGGCACAGCACTTGCAAAAGCGCGCCCTCAGATTATGCAACTCAATTTGAGCGATCTCCTGCACTTGTTTCAGGTTGCACAGACGCCGGCAGGCCTGGCCCGGGCTCCCTGCGCCCACATCTACGGATTTCCAGGAGCTCCAATTTGCTGACTTTGCGAGACGGTGGTGACGAGCCTTTTGGGGGGGGGTCTGGCGCCACCGGACTCAAAAGAGCGTTATCCATGACGCTGCCCAAAATTGCCTTGGCAGTGCCACAGGCCAGGCGCGACCCTGCTCTCGTGCCAGGCCTCTGCCTGAGGTGCAGGCAGGCAGCCTGCGAGGGAAACAGCCCTGACTGTGAGCGGGATGGAAGTGATGGGCAAGAAAGCCATGGGGTAGTATGGTGAAGGCTGGAGGGAAGAGCACTCAAGCAGGGGGAAAGCTCTGCATCGGCAAGAAGAAGGCCGGCAAAGGGCACAGCCCGCCGCAGCGCCCATGACGGGGCGAG